AATTCAACGTCCTCGAACCGAGGAAAAGTTTTTAAATTTATTTATCCGACTCTTATTTTTTTTAAGTAACCAATAGTCATTTGAACTATACCGATAGTTGTTTGTATAAGCCAACAAACGTGTTGACATAATATCATGTAAGTAATGACGACGCCCGCAACGGATTAATAACGAATGTCATATGGTCTGTATAAGTTACAACTATAATGTAGTGTGACGAGATTAGACAGGATAACTAATAGTTCTAAGAGAAAAGACGAGTATCTTCATCGATTCACTATTCAAATTACTATTGGTTTTTTTCAAAAAGCGAATTATTATTATTTTGGTCATTCACATGCTGGGAAATATTAAACGGCATCAAGTTCTCGACCTTTGATGTTGCTCGTCGCACGGTACATGTAAAAGGGTCGCGTAATCCGTAAAGTACAGAACAATTACTACTAGACATCAATAGAAGGACCGTGTCCGGGCGTTTAATACATCGTTTATGTCATGCCGGTCCATGAAGTTCAATTAATAAGTACAGCTACGCTAATTCTTTCCGAGTACGTGAGTATTGCCCGTTTCCTCCGTCTTACTATTATTATTTTTTCTTAACAAACACGCGGTATTACGTTTTGTTAACACTCGTACTAGTCGAGTTATCCACAGCCGCCACTGACCCTTTCGTTTTATCATAAACCGGCTAAGGTATGCGATGTGAGATCACATACGAACGTCCTTCCCAACATAATATACCAGTCGGTAGTAATCACCACCGCCATAAAAACAGTTTACTCCGCACAATACGTTCAAGTTGTTACCGGGCCGAATATTGTTTTCAAATAATGTTTCCCATTATTTATATTCTACTAGTTGTAAAAAGAAAAATTTTAATGCTCGAATAAGAAAAAACTCATCAATTTAATGGTTTATAAAAAATATTAATAAAAAAAATAGTACTTCTGTTTATAATTTAATTTTGTTTTAACAAATAACAATCTAATTATACGAGTATTTAAATAACTATGTTATCAGAATAAAATAATTTTTTTGAAAATAATTCATAAATTGACATCAATATGACCACAAAATGACTAAATGTAAAAAACAACAATTAGCATTTATTATTAAGAGTAACCCACTGGTGACATAAAGAATGTGGTAAGAAACCTATTGTTTAGTATAAAGTCTATTTTGCTATAATTAAGTATAACTTGGAGCTAATATAGAAATGTGTATACGATACAAATTAAAATATTATTATCAAGCAAAAATAATAAATTGTCTTCAACAATAAACCCGTCAAAGATGTAAGTCCTTTGTCGCTAAGTCTTAACGGCAAGCACTAATTTTCAGACAAAAAATAGGATTACGCGCATTAGACACCAATACTTTTTAATCGACTTCGAGGCTAATTCATGCTTCACGGTTTATTACTCTATTAGAAGGCCACTAAGGCAGAGAAACAACTATTATTTGACAGATAAAATGTATAAAAATTAACTGTTACAATTTAAAGGAGCAATATTTTAAAATTTTGGTAAGCATTATCGTAACTTTACGATACTAGAGGCAAAATAAAAAATCTACGAAAACATTAAGTTTTTCAAAGATTGTATAATTTTACATTATTAATAAATACATGAAAAAAGAACATTTATAAATTTATTAAATATTGGTCACCGTAATTCATGCAATAATATGTGCCATATTTTTATATAATATTATATCGTCGAATATAACATAATCGTATAGAATTAACTTCAAATTATCAAACATTTCTTTATTAGACTCATAAGACGATCAATAAATTTCTCCTCAAATTGTCTGACTTTATTTAAAGTAAACTTTTACCGTACCAATTCATACTTTCAATATATAAATTAGTCAATTTATGAACGAACAACTTTTCAACACATTTTTTTGAAGTTATTAAGACTTTACCATAATGACTGGAGGTGAAGCGATAACCTGTTTATTTTTATTTCTATATATTAATGAGCCACAATACTCCTCCCGCTATAGTATAAAAGTGTAAATATCTTTTAAAATACTGGTTCAAAAGTTGTTGTTGACCTGTTCTTTTTTTTTTTGTTAGATCATTTTCCTATTTTTAAGCTAGGTAAATATTTGTTTCCATTCAAAAAACTTGATTTTGAATTAACCATTTTTTAGCCCTTTACTTACAAAACATGGTTGATGGGTCGATGATAACTTCAGGACAAATAACTTATCAAGTTACAAGTATTTTAATACATTAAGTGAATGTGTAGCGTGGGTGGATGTAGCCCGTAAGTATACTCCTGCTGCATTTCATACCCCCATTTTATGTATTGAAATGCTTGTAACTTGATAAGTATTTGTCCTGAAGTTATCATCAACCCATCAACATTTTATAAAAGGGCTAAAAATGGCTATTTTAAAATTGTTTTTTGTATAAATGGCCATCAGATAAAACAAAACTAAAATTACTTGGTCATTTTTAATCCATAATGATGATATAATTTTTATAATATAAATATTTTAAGAGAAATTTTAATTTCATAAACTAATGGTACTCAAAAATGCTCAGAATTTTTACATGGATAGAATGATTAATAATAAAATATTTAATACTCTCCAAGTTTCATCTTTAAGTATTAATTGCTTTATTTTTAGTAGGTTTTGACTCTTATCCACTCATGTACACGTCTTTGATATTCAGCAAACACTTCAATGGTAATCTATGACAACTTTAAAAGTATTTGACTAGTATAAGAATTTTTAAGAAATATTAACATCTTAAATATTTTTCATATGAGTACAAGAACTCGCAGGAGTGGTAATCGTAGGTATTTGTTGTAACCACTATGTGTAATTATGATGTTCTTGAAGTCTTAAAGACAATTCATAGGCACCAAAACAGGCTACACTCAATGTCTGTATAGTAGTTCATAATCTTAAATTTCTCGTCTCCGTACAATCAAATAACAATGCATTTAACAATTATTTTTTTAAATTATCAAAGCGACTTATTTAAAATATGATAATACGAAAACAAAATCATCCGTCAAATAAAAAAAAACTCACAATTTAATAAGAAATATAAACAATGTTTTAAGTAAAACGCCATACTATTATGAACCATAAAAATCACACTGAACTATATCCGTTCACCGAACTCAATCTTAAAAATCTATTTGAAAGAATAAGATTACCAGCCAGTTCAATATAACATGTTATTATCGAAGAATCTTGCCGCCGATTGCATCCCTGTGGCTAAATTTAGAAGACGTGTTTATTGTTAGTGAGTACAAACAACTGCAGTGTAGATGCAATGAATGAGTGCCATGCACATAATCGATTCGTCGTCGTTTTATGAGGTAACGTTGTAGAAGAGAGCAGCTGCAGCCCAAATCGCAAACGGATCGATTGCAATTCAAAATAACATACGACTACTATATGAAAATAACTACACTTAGTACTATATAAAAATGCAAAAAAATTACTGCTTCGAATTTTTTTTTTTCATTCTCACCCAAGAATTTTTTACTGTTGATATTTAATTTATTAATATTTAAAAGACCGGACAAATTAACACATTTTTAAAATTCGTTTAAAGTTTTGTTAATTTTGGAAATTATTTTTTAACTTCGTTAAGTTAAATGGAACTAAAATAAATAAGAATAATTTCATATTTACATTGCAGTAATGCACTTAAAATTTATAAGTATTTCAGATTAAAATAATTAAAATTAAATCCCCCAAAAGAGTAATGAGTCGCCAAACTTTATTAAATAAACTTAAACAAGAGTTTACTGTTTAATACGATCAACTTTGACTAGAACAAAAGTAAGCCGTTTACAAATGATTTTAGAGTTATTTTTGAAATAAAAAAGCCAACAAATGTTTAGATTGAATTTAACACATATGATATTTACACATTATACAAAAATGCAGAGGAAATCAAATTTACGCGCCAACACAGTACAACACATCATACATATAAGACTATTTTTCAAATAAAATACAACTAGAAAAAATGTCGAGTACTTTACGAAATACCTAAAACATGTTTAGCATGCTAAAATATGAAAATCGTGGTACTGTTAAGGTAAAAAAAGAGCAAACAAAGTATAAGTTTAATCCTTATAATTTACCACCGTAAGAAGTTACCAAACTAAACTATTAACCCTTAAGTTTTGATATATTAGATTTTTATTTTTATTAGTATTTACTTTGTTATAAAAAAAGTAAATACCACGTTTCCATTGTTTTAAATACTATTCAAAATAAAAACTTTAAAAATATATAAATAATACTGTCAAATATTATTATGTACACATGTTTCCTTTTTTTTAATCTGCCATAAAATTGACATGGATATTTAGCTCAATATCCATTAAATAATTAAGTATTTGAGAAAATGTGATACAATATAAAAATAGCCCGTATAAATTATTATACAAAACTGATTGTTTCTTAAAAAAAAATTAGTAGGAATAATAATGAAAATCTAACCAAACAAGATGACATCAATGTAATATATATTAACTCAAACTTTAAATAAGATTATTTGTTATAATTACACATCCGAAAAATCCAACAAACTAGAGTTGTCTAAATTCATTATATTTAATCAAAATTTGAAAAATAAAATTTCTATTTAAGTTAAACTTCTAAATCTTTTCAATAATAAAAAGTACTTGGTTCCATGAATTAGAATGATATATATATACATAAGCGCAAATAGTTAAAAAAATATTGTAAATGCTAAATGTAATTCTTTCTATCATTAAAAATATTTTGATATTATCATAAACCATATTCTGGTGGTACTATTGAAATTTTTATGAGTACTAGGTATCCAAAACTTTCCCCCCTATTCGCGCTTATTTATAGTAATTTTATTAAGTTATTTTCGATAGATATTTTGTTAATTAACCATTAAAACCTAAAAAAATATATTTATTAGAATGAGCTTTTAAATATTTGATATGAACTACAGAAATAATTACAATTATTATATTACTTACAGCAATTATTATTCAAATATTTTAAATTTTGAACTAATTTTTCTTCTTTATAACAATGGGATGAAACGCGCTTAAAAATATTGGAACACCAATCACGGACACTTTACGCACACACAAGAGCAACCGGTTACGCACATACTGAGTTCAGAGTTAGTTTGGTTTACTTCATGTTCATCTGCCACTTGGCCGGTGAGCGCGCGCGCCGTCTATTCAATGCAGCCAACTAAACAGGTTTCTGGTGAATCTCTCAGGGATTTATTTTTACAAATCATAAGAATAAAAGTATTGATACTAAGCACATTATTTAGCACAAACATAAACCCTTTGTATAGTAATTGTCTGATTAAAATTTCACTATTGATAGTATGTTGCTAAAATATTAAGACAAAATTTTACTTGAAACAATTGTGCAATAAGTGACCTTGTAAAAATCAACAGATACCATTACTTACTATAAAGTAAGAATATATTAAGTTTACACAAATCTTATTTCAAACTTACTATCTTCGATAGTCAAAAAAATTTTCAGATGATCAATTTTAGGTTCAATAATTTTTTTTTTAATTAACATCTGCTAATATTTTTCTCTAAAATTTGAATACTATTGCAAAAATTGAGTTCTGATACACTGGACATTCTTCACTGAATGTACTATCAACGAACAAATTAATAAATTAAATAATTTTTATTCTGATTAAAAAATAATTCAATTTCATATCTTTCATATGTATAAAGATATACCTACAGTGTTTTTACTTTCATGATGGGAAAACAAAATAACGATTATAGTGTAACTTGGTATAAACATATATTTATGTACATAACAATAGACACAATTTTTAGGTGATTACAAAACTTCCATTCATATATTTTCATACAATTATGATACCCTTGAATGTACAATATTTCGTATATTGAAGATTATTTTTGGCAAAATGTATTTAAATTTAAATTGACATATCCAGTTTTATTTTCAGAATATCTTGAATCAAGTCGGTTACAAGTAACTAGTTAATTTTACTTCATAATAATTTTAATGTTACAATTATTTAAATTATTTGAAAATGAATCTTTATCATTAAAAATATGCGTGTTGAAGTAGTCTGATGACGATTTTGTTCAATTTCACGGGTTAGAAAATAAAAATATTGATAACGAGTAGTATTCAATTTATTTACTATAAAGCAAGATGTTTCTATTATTTTCATTTTCCAAAAATATATCATAATAGTATATTAACTATTATCTATGAAGTTAATATTTCTACATATTATTCTTTTTTGAGTATTAATAAAAAACTATGCTGAAAAATGTATCGGCATAGTTATTTAGTCAGCATCAACGATTGTTATCATAGGAATCTGAAAATCAAAGTTTCGTATCAGCCGCATTTACATGACTTATCTGTTACTATTAAAATAACATTTTTCTTACTACTATGAAGTACTATTATCCCAGTTAAGCATTAGTTGATAATACGAGGTTTGATAATACAAACTAATGAGATAAATTAAAAGTTTAATATTTAATTAAAAATAGAATTATTGTAATAAATAAAATTCACCGTGATCAATTAAAAAATGAGTTTTATCAATAAGTTCATAAATAATTACCAATTATTTTTTTCTCTCTAATGGAAGCACTGTACTGAACGCAGCCAAAAAGTACATGGTATATACCCCACCCACCACAGACCCAAATCACTTCACTATTTCCCTTTCATTTTCATTTTGTGTTTGTAAACAATATTATTGTTAATCACTAATATACATTTTAGCGCTCAAATTATCAAGTTTTTCATTTTTTTTTGCAATTTATTAGTTAAAACTTAATATAATAAAGACTATGCATAACACGACACAAAATTTGAATCATATTTTATCACGTCTTTCTTGTTGTATTCAATTTATACTTTTTATTTCGTGGTCATTGATGATTTTAATATAACTTTATAACTTGAGAACAAGGTAAGTCACAAAAAAATTAAAGAGTTTGTAATTATAAATATTTTATTTTGTGTTACTATATCGTAAAAAAGGTTCTATTCATATAAATCATAAATTACTATTGGTTGATGTATGTTATTATTTCAGTTATTATAGTCTGTTATAAAAATGACCAACTCTTTTAAAATTTTATAAAATTTTATTAGATGTATTCATTTATCTCTTATATTTAAAATTCAATTATTAAGAATAAATTCATTACTTTGAATATGGCTATTTTATTTATTTAATAATTTATTTTGAGTTGTCTTTTCCTGTGAATAATCTTATCTATCATTTATCCTTAATGCATCAATTTTGATACATATAGGATCTAATAATAATAATAAGCTTATTAAGTTATTACAACCCTCTATTTAAGGTAAATTCAAATTATAAAATGCTTATTTATTGTTAAATAGTAATAAACATTACTGAACTTGAATTTAAATTTTTATAAAAACAATTTTTTTTTTATAATTTTAAGGATAATTTAACCATTATATATTTTTATCGTTTTATAGTTTTAAAGTTAAAGTCTAAATAAAAAATTTACATGATAAACTAATATAATTTATGAAACTATAATTCTTATAAATATTTTGAACTTGAATTTTTTATTTTTTAGGTCTTACTTTCCTTACCATGTTCTATTATTAAAAATCAACTATACAATTTATCTATTTTTTTTTTAATTAAAAATGAATAAAAAGTAAGTATACATTTTTACCTATTCAAAGAATAACATTAAAATATCCATGACGTTAATTGTCTTCTTTTTCTTTTTTCAGATTGTTTTTAGCAATGAGTCGTCGTCGCATATCGTGCCCATTAGCTGTACAGCAATTATGGGATGCTGTGAAGGTAATACGCTTTCAAAGGCAAGTTCCAGATATAGATAGGATTACAAAATATATGACTAAAGTACATAATATGCCATCAGGTTAGTATTATAACAAAATAATGTTATATTCTTTTTTATTTTGTAGAATGAAACTAGTGTTTATAGCCACTAGTACAGAAACATAAATATTAAGGTTTTAAAGAATTATTTTATTAATATTTTCAAAACAATTAATGTGGGATAATTTTTTTTTTTAATATTTGTTCTTCATATTATTTTTATTTACTTTATAAGCCTTCTATTATGAGATACTTATCTAATAAATTCTATTGGATGTTTCTCTTAATACTAGCCACTTGATTTCTCTTCATATAATAATGCTATGAAAATTATTTTTGGTATTTTTTAGATTCATCGAGTTATCAGTTAATACCTAATTATTTTTTTAAATTACCTTTTACCTTTTAAACCTGTTAACTTCATTTTAATTGAACTGTTTTGTTAAATGGTAACATACATGCTTTACTAGCTTATAAAATAAATAATTTTCTAATTAAAAAAATCCTTGATTGATAACAACTTTTGGACAATTACTTTAAAAGTTATTGACATTTTTATATCTAGGCGGGAAAATAATTACGGTTGAGAAATGTATTAATGATAAATATTATCGTACGTGGACCTCGCCTCTAGTTTTATTTTAAGATTGTAATATATTCTGGAAAATAATGAGTCAAAAATTGTTGTGGACCAGCCATCTCCTTTATTAGATATCATCTATTTTATATGTTTCCATTTAAAAGGATAAAGTTGACATTCTTGTAAAGTATAAGTAATAAAGTAAAAAATAATTAATTACTGATAAATTAGAAAATATATGATACTAAGTAATACTAAGAATAATTATTATTTTAAGAAAAATCAAGTGGTTAGTATTAAAAAAAAATCACCTTATTTAAAATTATAATAATTATTTCCAAATAAGCTTTACTATTTCAGAAATATGAGTTTAAATGAAGTATTTATCCTTGATACTTTAAATGTAACAAAACATTGTATAATAGAACTTTTAAAAGAAAATAGCTACAAATATTAACTTACTATCATATAAAAACATTGTATATTGTTATATTGATTCAAATTTAATGGTTTCAATGTTATGACACTCAAAATCCCTAATATTCATTTTGTTAAAAATTATTTTTCCATAAATTGTTTATATGTATTTAATAAATTTATTTGTTGTCTTATGTGTTAATTCTAATTTTAAACTTACTTAATTATTTTAGAAGAAGTTGGTAGACAACTTAATTATTGTGTACGCGATGGTCTTTTAATTTTAACTAAAAGAGTTGGCAATAAAGGATCTAAAGTTGGTGTTGAAACTGAAGGCTATAAACTTCCTGAAGAAAAGGTTTTATTTGATTTTTATCATATAGATGAAATAATAATTTGTTACTAAAATAAAATATTTTTAAGGTTGATAAAGATAGTCATGATTGGTATTGTTTTCAATGTCATAGTGCTGGAGATGTTATAAGTTGTACTTCATGTCATCGTGTTTACCACCTATCATGCATTGAAAAAGAAGATTTACCTGATGATGATGTGAAACATAAGTTTATATGTTTTGTTTGCAAGGTATGTATACATATTTTATTAAATATTCTTATATATAATAATTTGACATAAAAAAAGTATGTGAACTTGTCAGAACATCATGAGACACCTGTTATATACAGAGTGATTTTTTTATCACAACCAATTCAATTACTTACAGAATAAAAATAATTTAAACATTTTTTTCTGTTTTGTTATCTTTAATTACACACTAGGCTATGCTCTAGACCTAGGGCCCTACAAGACAATCGCACTATTTTAGGAGGGTATTTTATATTTTTTTACTTTATTAAACATGCTATAGAATTTTTTTTTTGCTAAAAGTCAAAGTGATCATTTAAAAAAAGGTCATTAGGTTCTTATTTCTTAGCAGTTGCCTAAAAAAATATTCATAGTGCTGGTTCAAGGGGGGGCCATATACCCCTTAAATACACCACTGGTATACACAAAAATGATTAATATTCCAATTATAATAATTTTGTTTATATTATAGAATAATTACAAAAAATCTGACAGGTTATTATACCTGACACTGTAAAAAATTTAATTTAATTGGTAACTGTAATTTGACGTTGGACAGCATAGTTGTCATAGATGTATTCCAAATTTTATGATAAACTCATAGACTCGTACATCTTATATGATATAAATAAGATTATTAATACTGTACAGTTCTGAAAATGAATGTACAAACTTATATATTTATAACCATCTTGAAATTTTTATATAACATATAACATTCCATGATAATGTTATCTCAGAAATGTCATTGAGCGGGTGTGGTGAAAATTTCAAAACGTTAGTCGTAAGACTCGAGTGTTTTTCTCAAAAAAAGTCGAAATTTTAACACTTTCTGCAAAAAAATTTTTGACTTTTGCCAATAATTTTTCCAGAGTCTCATAAGTGAATATTTTTGTTGAAAAAATTAATTTTTGAAAATCTGAGCACGATAAGTAGTTTTCCCAGAAAAGTGTTTTTTTCTTGTTCTATTGTGTAATAAGATTATTCTTGAATTATTAATTATGTAATACTTTTTAAGTTCATCTCTTATGTCTTGTTAAAGTGTCAACTTTGTTTTTTCAAATGGGAATATATATTTGTAATTGAATAAAATGTTTGAGTTTTTTACTTATTAGTAAATGGCATTTGAATTTTTAATATAACTTTATTTGTTTATTAGACATCAAATATAAGTAGCTAATTGGTTTTTTATGACGTTTTTATTCACAGATACACAGCATTTATTATCAATGGTAGTAAGGCACATTGTTGTGAGTTAATAAATATTTTAACTGGCTATACAGAAAACATATCTATTGATAGTCATAATGACAATACATACTCCATGACTGTGTTAGCGATGTCATAAAAAACCAATTAACTACCTGTATTTGTAATCATTTGTGTATTAAACATGTATATTAACTCAAAAATTTGAAACTTTAAAATTTTATATCTAATAAATGAATAAAGTTATATTAAAAATTCAAATGCCATTTACTAATAAGTAAAAACTCAAACATTACATAATTAATAATTCAAGAATAATGTGTAATTAAAGATAACAAAAACAAATTTTTTAATTATTTTTATTCTTTAAGTAATTGAGTTGGTTATGATAAAAAATCACCCTTTAAATACATTTATATATATATTTTTTTAATATTATTTTCTAACTAGAAAATCACATCAGCTAGAGAGGCAACAAAAAAAATCAAGAAAAGTCAGCTTAATAGGCTGCTTTATCATACTACTATGAGATTAAAAGAAAAAGTAACTTTACATTATATAATAATGCATTTAATATTATGATTTTTTCTGAAAAGTTAATTTTATAATATCAAATAAATTATAGATCCCATTACCTTGGGTGGAACGAAAAATTGCTACTACTGCTCCATCAACATATGTGTCAGATAGGCTACAGTTTCAGAGTCAGTTAAAAGGAAGTGACTTACAGTTTAACATGAAGTCTGCTCTAAAAGATAAAGATCCATGGAGAATAGATCTTCTTATTTTTAAGTAAATCTAAATAATATATTATAGCATATTAAAACTTTCCAAAAATCACTTTAATGGACAATCAAGGGCTGTAGTAGCCTTCTAATCCAAAGTGGTTTCTCAATCTTATAAAGAATGTTCAAGTAAGAAAACAGGCAATTGTTCAAACAATGAAAATAATATAAACCCTTTCACAAATTTACTGAATGCACTATACCCTTCAAGATGGGTAATGAGTCTATTATTGAAGAGAGAAATGATAACTTCAATTAAGGAACTGATCTCATGTTCAACATATAGGTCACCCATAACTGAGCCACAAATTTAAAAAAGAACATATCAGGCACTGCAGTATTACCAACTCAGCCACAATGTCTTTAAATACTATACAAAAATTTGTTATTAATTCTTAGTTTAACTTTCATAGGATAATTGATCTTCAATTAATAGAAGAAAAAGCTGATAATGATGAGTATAAAAATGTTGAAGAATTCCGTGCTGATATTTTAACTTTTGTTCACAATATAATCATATTTCATGGAGGTAGAAATACTAATTAAAACATTATTTTATATAAAAATCAAAATTTAATGTAATATTTTGTTACACTCTTTCTAGTACATAGTAGCTTAGCAGATTATGGACGATTAATGCTGCGAGATTGTAACCGAGATTTAGATGAAATATTGAGATGTCGTTATTGTTATAAGCATTCAATTCAAAAAAATACTAAATTTTGGTTTTGTAAACCATGTAAACCACCACATGAACTTGTATATGCTAAACAAGAAGACTTTCCTTATTGGCCAGCTAAGGTAAAAATTGCTACAAATTTTAAGATTTTTACATGATAAAATAATTTTTATATAAATTTGATAATACAATAATTTTTTGTGGTAGGTATTAAAAATTGATGGTGATTCATATAAAGTGAGATTTTTTGGTGGCGATCATCATCTTGGAACTATTGATAAATCACAAATAAGACCAATATCTGTAAATATTCATACTCTACAGGTAATTTTATAACTTTTTTCAAAATTGTATAATGTAGGAGATATTGAACCAAATTCATAATCTATATCAAGGATTTCACACATTTATCTCATTACATATTGTTAACAATTGTTAACAAACATTAAGTTAAAATTACATATTAAAAAAAAATGTTTGCACATAAAGTACTTTTTAAGAACTTTTTTCGTGATAATAAAGAACCTCTACAAGGTTGAAATAAAATATATTTTATGTTTTTGTTATTTTTTTGTAGTATTATCAAGACTTTTTTGCAGCTTAGTAAATTTTTAGTCACCAAACTTTTTAGCTCTTACCCACCTTTCTTCCAGATAATGATATTACATACTTAAATGTTTTATCATGATTACTAAAATTCTGAAGAATATGAAAATATTAGAGGATTTAATAAATTTTCCTGGAAATTTTTAAAAATAAATCAAATCTATCATATATTTAGACTCCTATCTGACTTAATTTTTTGAACATTATTAGTGGCATATCACTTACTAGTCCTTATAGATAAGATTATCAAAATAATAAAAATAAACTGCGATTGATGAAATCACATACTTTATCTTAAATAATGTTTATTTACACTCCTTAAACAAAGTATAGCATTTTTTAAAAAATTTATTGGAAAATCTTGGTAAAGTCAAAAAATTTGATCATTTTAAATATGTGATAACCGCATTATCATACATTACAGATTTTAGTTTTCTAAAGGTAAAATGGTAAATTTTAGTTTACCAAGTACTCTCGAGTACCTGGTTAAAATTCAGCATTTAACTTCTAACAAATCCAATTTATTTGTTTTACACATATATTGTGTAAAACAAATAAAAACTTAATTAATAAAAAATTTGCATAAATATTTTTTTATTGCTTTTTAGACAATAAAATAATTAATTTTCTTTTTAAAATTATTTCCTAAAAATTCTTCATATTCTCATAATGCAAAATAACAAAAAAAAAAAAAAAAATTATTCTTCAATTATAGAACAATATCCCCTAAGGTTACATCAATAGAATAATTTACTAAATAATTAATAATTTTTATGCCTAATTAATATTATTAAATCAAATATTTTTCTATTTCCATTAAAATAAAAATGAAATATTCTTTAATAATACTCACCATTTTGACTAGTAACCTGATACTTTTTTTGTAAATTATTTTAATTCCCCTTTTTTTCATTATTATTATTATTATTTTTTTAATAAAAATAAAAATATAAAATTATGTTTTCTTTAGTCTCAAGGTCGTACATCTCAGTGGAATAAAGCCTGTGAAGAATTACGTCGTCATCAATTGCAGTTGGATAAAATAATTTTTGGACTTGCTCCACAGTCATCATCAAGTTCATCATCCGAAGATGAAGAAGAATCTCTAAAAATTGATGAAAAATTCCAGCCTGATGATATTAAACCTTCTGATCTACCTTTAGAAGATAAAAATAATATGTCTTTGTTGACAAATGAAACTGAAGTTGAATTGAAATCAGAAGAAATTGTATCTGATTTAAAAGAAGAGGATAATAAAGACGAAGAAGGTGATCTTCCTTTAAAAAGAAAGCGTGGTAGACCTCCAGTATTAGAAACCAAAATTGTTACACCTCCCAAAAAAATATTAAAAAAATCTTTAACCCCTAAAAAATCAAGTCCAGAAATTTTAAATGAAAAACGCCCCAGAGGAAGACCAAAAAAACCATGTGATCAAACAGATGATGATAATGTTGTAAGTTCCAAATTAAAATCAAAAAACAATTCTAAGGATAATACTTCAATAGAAGTGTCTAAAGGAATAAAAAGTGTATCACCTAAAACTAAATTTCAACTTAAAGATAGCGAAACTGATCAAAATATAACATCTACTACTGAACGGTTGAAAAATTCTGATGTTGGTGAAGATGAAATTGTCAGCTCTTCATGTCAAGATTTGGTACGATCTGTTAAAGTTCAAACTAAACCAATAAATAAAAAACCTCCTAAAAGTCTAATAAACAAAGTAAGTTAGTCAGAACATCTTCATATTTTAATTGTTAACAAAAATAAAAATATTTTATTAATATATTGTAGATTCGCACTGAAATGGAAAATGAAAAGCGTAAAGCATTGGAACAACTTGTACAGCGACATAAGGAAGAAATAGCTCTTTTACAAGAAAATCATAATATTGCCTTATCTGAAGTAAAAAAAAAGCAATGGGTAAATTTATTAATTGTTTTAAATGATCATCTATGACTTATTAAATATTATTACTACTCCTTAAACTGTTCTCTATGGTAAATATTTTCCTATGATCTCCTAAACGTTCATTCATACATTAGTATGATATTGTCCAGAAATACCTTGTATTTAATTTAAAATATTAATATTTTTGAAATATCAAAAATTTTACATGTTTAAAAAATGTTTAGTGTGTTAATTGTGAAAGTGAAGCAATTTATCATTGTTGTTGGAATACAGCATATTGCAGTCCTAAATGTCAACTTGTTCACTGGAGTAGTGAACATAAAAGGCATTGTCGTCGTAAAAGATAATCTTAGTATAATTTATTTGATTATAGGAAGATTATTTAATAAGTGAATCTCCATATTAATTTTTTATATTTATTAATTAAGTTGGTTACATATATATTGTTTTATTATATATTTAAATTATAGACAAAAAATTAAGAAGCTTACTATCAGTATAGATTATTGAAATATATTTTTATCTTTGTAAGATAACTTATCAATGAAAACTTTTTAAAATCAATTTATTATTTTGTACTTTATCAAGTATTATATAGACTATTAATTCACTTCTAATTTATGTAGAATTTATAATATTTTTGTACTCAATTAATTATTTTTGGTTTATTCAAATTTAAAATCCAGAATTAATTATTTATTTATATCCCAAAATTATTAATCATCATCACATCTTTTGAGTTAATTAAAGGAATTGTTTGTATCCATCTTTATTTTATTAAGCTAAAATTTGTTCAATTGGTTATCCTGAAAATATTTGTTATATATTTATTAGTTTTTTGTATTTATACTTCTAGTTTGTAAGATATTTATAGTAATTTATTTTTTAATTGGTTTTTGTTAGTTGTTTTATTTTATTATTTGTACATATTTAATATTATATGTTAATGGTAAGTTTAAATTATTATAAATGGTGCTTTATTATATGTTAAAAATTAGTTATTCTTGTACAGAAAAGAGCTAAAATTATATTTAAATGTGTAATATTGTGGAAATATTAATATAATTTATAGTAAGACCAACAACTTTTTAATGATATGTATTATTATGTATATAAACTTGTATTATATTAATCATTATTTAGCTCTTCCAAAATATTCAGTTTATGTATGAAGTTTGCTTGATTTATTATCACCTAATTATATATATATATATATATGTATTACCACATTTAATGAGCAATATTATGATAATCACTAGACTGTACCATTTTTTATATAAGTCTGTTGTCAATAACTTGACAGATTGACAATATTGGACCTGTGTGTTAATTAATAGAGCTTATAAATTAATCTAGTATATTTTGCATAATTATTATGTATAAATTTGTTTATTATCACTATGATAATTATTAATAATGACTTTGTATTTTTACTAAGTACTATTTATAAAAATTTAGATACATAATATTTTTTGATCTCAGTTTTTTCTTTTTGGTGTTGGCATAAATGAAAGTAATATTAGAGATTTGTCAGAATTTCACATGTATTGTTTTATTCTAGATTTTATGTCACATTGGCATTTAAACAAAATTGTATTTGTTAAAATTGAATATAGATATTTTTTTAAATTTATATTTTATGTACTATATATACTATGGTATATTTTATGTTGAATAAAATTTGGAGAATAGATGTGTAATGTTTGTATTCGATATTTTTTTATTATTTACATTAGAATAAAAAAAAAAATGAGCATTTGTAATTAATAAAATTTGATTTTGTGTATGTATTAAACTTTCATAACCATGAACGAGATAAATTAGTATAACATTCACATAGTTAATCAATTTATTTATTTGATATATAATAATGTTATAACTTACAATATGCAGCACATTTTTGGTTTGAAATTTTAATGAATATGTAAATTAGTCGTATATTTTAATTTTCTAAATGAAGAATTATTTTCAAAATATAAATAACAAGTATTATTTCCATATTTTAAATTTTACAGAAAAGCCAATCTTGTAAAAAAAAATTAACTAAATGTTATAGTAATTTTTTGTGTAGATGATATACAAATATATAATTTTTGACACCATTATGGATATATATATTTTGGAAATAATCCATTTTGAAAATCGCTAGATTTTATCCATTTATATCTTCGAAAATGAAACATTCTTAATCGATTGTTTTTTTTATGATCCGACATCATTTATTCGAATTTTCCACAATTTAATAATGAAAATTGTTCTCAGCAATTCAGCTATTCATCTTCATTAATCAGAAAAAAAATAACATCTGACTATCAGTGTATTACTGACAGATCTGTCACTTCTACTCTCTTTAAAGATTTTTAGTTAAAGGTAAGATTTACTGTTTACTATATTTTAAAAATGTTAAAAACTATGTTTAACATTTTTGTCTATAACGTTAAACTTATAAAATATATTGCAATTACAAATATTTCTCAAATGTTAATTTTAAAACGTAACCTCAAATTATAAAAAGTTAATTTATAACAATTAATAATTGTATTAAAATTTAAAAGTAATCAAAATCGTGAAACATGTACTCCATTACCCTTATAATTTGAATAAAATGTTTGGACTACTATCAAAACAACATTGATTTTAAGTATACATGCAGCTTAATTTTATTCTGTCTAACAGTTTGATAGAATATTATCGTAATTAATACTATATTATTGTTTGTTTTTAAAGCTTACAACGCTTGTTGACATATTTTGTGAGTAGATTTTCTTGCAAATCGGAGAAATCTCTCTGGGAAATTTTAACGATATTAATAAACTACATAAATGTGTATTATTGTGTAGTTATATTCTGCATGGATCATTATTAATACTATTTCTTAGAAAAGTATAGCATATATTTATAAATAAATTAAGAACATTTTGCCTATGCGATTATAACAACGAAAATATAAAATAGGATTATGTAACTATAAAAGTAAAATTATGTTAATTTTAGGCATAATTTCAACCTAATATAGGAGTGTACTCCTATACACGTTTAATTATTTTTATATTTTATCGACTTAAAAATGTATTATCATATTTATGCTATAAAAGCACAAACCTCTGTTAAGGAGGACCTTCTGTCCTCCTTAATGGTAGTCATTCTTCTAATGGCTACTATTTTTTATTTAGTGAATTAACATTTGGAAAAGAAGTCGTTTTCCCATTTTTTCATTAACCCTTTTAGTCCGGATTTTTATTTTTAGTTAAAATGACTCAAAATAATTTTTTAAGGATGGACGACCCTATGATAGACAAAAAAATAATTTTTAGAAAATTCTATATTTTTAAGTTAAATTATTTTAAAACTTTAGAAAAAGACTTTACTGTTGTTTTGTTGCTTACTTCATGTATCTTTTAGTGTTGAAAACCATTTTAAATTTAGAACTACGATTACAAATTAATAAAAAAAAAAGATGATATATACACACACAATAGCAAATAAAAAAAAAAATATTGCCCTCCCCGTTAATTTTGAAATATTTTTTAATATTGCGCAATATTCAGATCACGATGAAAATACATTTATCAAACTCCGGGAAATTTTTATGTGAGAGTTTTAAATTAGAGTGTTTTAGTGAATTATTAATTTTATAACTAATAAGATAATTGAAAATATCGTTAGATTAAAATTCACACCACACGTATTAAAATCATTGTATCATAATTAATGATCACTTTAATTATTTTTACATAAACTTTTCAGATTACACAATTATTTTAAGTTATTCGAGTTCACATTTTAATGATTTGTTTTTAAACGTTACATAATAATTTAAATTAATAACCAAACTAAGAATTTCATTCACATTACTCAAAAATTCGAATAGCTATTTATGTACTGAATAATCATGATTTTAGTGATAATACCAACAAATTTTAAAGTACTTGTGGGGTAAAATGTTTATCCCATGCCAAATACTCAAATATTAATTTATGTGCTTGCAGGCCTACTTAATTCATTTGTATATCAAATAATAAATTAACAACTTGCAAAAAATGTAAAAACTCTAGTCACTGATTCAGTAATTTTTCTCTGTCCTTGCAGTTATCGGCCCTGTCATTTAAACAATTTGTTATTATAATTTTTATGTATTATTATTTAACAATACTGCTCCGATACGTGATGTGTTTAAAAAATAATGCCAACCTTCTTCTTGCTACGAGGGAGCAGACCACGTTTCAACATTGTGGTGTAACATTATAATAATTACGTATTATAAACTATTTATAACGCATTGGAGGATCATTGATGATTTTCTTATGACAGACAAATTCCGGCGGCTCGTTTGACCACCCGTTGCTTAGAAAATCATAATAATAATGTCAGGCGAACAACGTTGTTCGAAATAAAACAAATGACGAGTGTTCGCCGTGCGTAACTCTTTGACCCCCAACGATTCTCCAAGAGGTGCCAAAACAAAAATGACATTATTAAAATGATTTGTTTTTACTTTTTACCAGACCATAACTTTTTTTTCATTTTATTGTTATTACTTTTATCATGATTATTACTATTATTATTATTACCATCTACGATAGTTACATCATTCGTCTGCGGGGACGACCGTTGGGTGGGGGAGTACAGACAAATCTCAGATGTGATCTTGTACGTAGCCTATGTACGAGGTGCTCGCGCGTGCGAGAGTTGCCGGTAGTGTATATATACTATTATATTATTATTATATTGTATATAGTAACCGCCACCGCGCCTTACAGTTTGTACGGAGTCACATGCTGAGCCGCCGGCAGTCAGCCCCACGATCACGGACCGGCAACAGACGGGCCGAAGCTTCAACCGTTGAGCGGGTGCCGCGTGTATAAACGTGCGCGTGTAGTGTATGTGCTCACTGTAGTTAAATTTTTTCATTTTAACTTTTACCTTTTGACTCTATTAGTGTTGTATTAGTTCGACACGTGTTTTAATAAATAATTCATTCGTTGATATTTTACTAATTTTAAGTGAGTACTGTTAGGAGTATCCTTAATAATATTTTGGCGGTTTTTTTTTTTAATTAAGGGTTTTACTTACTATTAATACTATTGCAGGTTAAATTTAACTATTTTAAACAAATATATAAAACGGTAACTAAATAGTGTTGCCTTAAAATTTATGATAATATTTGTTATCGCTGACTATTTGTTGCCGAATTAACGTTCTACTCTTGTAAATTGTTTAAGTATTTGTACATACCATAAAAAACAACCGATATAACCTAGTCTGAGACAGTCTTATAAAAAGGGTTCATTTCAAGTATTCAGCCGTTTCCAATCGTTTTCATTGGGGTTGTAAAGCGAATTTGAGCATCCATTCAATCTAAATGTGAAAAACAGTTCTCAATTTGCTATTTGATCGATGTATTACAATGTTACTAATGTCTGTATTTAATATCTTTTTTACAAAAAACAGATGTTCAATCTAACAGAAAAAAATGAAAGAAGTATTTTTTTTATAACCAAGGACTTACGCAAAAAAGCAAGTAAAGGTGACAACCCATTCTTTAAATCGCAATTGTGATTATTAAGTGTTTTGTATTGAAACTTAAACACTGATATAATTTTAAAGATTTGAATACATAAGTGCAATTTGGGAGATTTGAAGTGACTTAACTACATTTCAGAAAATTTGTAAAAATAATTTAGGGATAGAATCAGGTTGAATGTACACATTCAAAAATTTTATTGAAATTTCACCAATGGTTGAATAAAATTTGTTCTTCTTTGATAAATTTCTGCAAATATTTTTATTGATAACAATTTAAAATTTGTTTATTTATTAATAAATAATTCTACTAATATTTGATATTTGAATATTAACTGTTAGATAATTAAAAGTTCAAAAACTAAGTTGTAAATACCGCATACCAAGAATACTTAACTATATGGAAGTATTTATTAGTTCTCATAGAAATTTTCAAACAGTTTTTAACAGAAAAGTCACATAGATTATAATGTTTGTTTAATAAGATAGTAGTTTTGGCTGATTACTTTTAAGTATGTATTTACGTATACTTATGTTATAAGACACATGCTACACTTGATTCTTCTTTGACGTACTTTTCATTATAAAGAAGACCATTTCTGTAATTATTATCAATATATTGAAATTTTGAACGAATATTGAGTGTTTTTTTAAGCAATATCACACTTGAAATACTTAAAATAATTTAATAAATTAATGATAGTCATGCTTTTGCAATTAGTTTGATAGTGTTATTCAGGAGTATGAAAAATATTATAATTTGCAACAAAAAAAGAAAAGAAAGGGCGTCAATGTATTTTTAGTCATTTAGTTCAAAGTCTCCAATGAAAATTTTTGAGCATTGAATAGTATGTTGAAAAATGTGTCCTTTAATAAAAAAATTAAACAACGCTCCTGGTCTAAATGCCTGTATCTAGAATGTAGAAGAATAAAGGAACACACAAATTAAAATAATTTAAAGTTTTAAATTTTACTTATGGCTTTGACCTTTTATTAAATGAAACATATATATGAGTAATTAATTTTAAAAATTAAATCACTAAAGTATTGGTATAATGGGTTTATTAGCATATTCAACGTTAAATTTATAAGCACTTAGCAAAATATTATATTAAAGTATCTTAATCCAATTTCCGGTAAAATATATTGTATTAAGGTTTTTCAAGGTTAGCTTCATATATTCTTTAAAAATATTTTAGTAAATACTTTAAATCCTAGTTAAATTATGTAATGTCTTTTTTTAAATGTATTTTAGTTTTACTTATAATTTTAAGTCATGCCCTCGCTTTTATCTTAATTTAATTGAACAATTCATCATATTGTCTTTAATCGAAAAATTTATTTAAAATTTAATGATAAAGATTATTTTTTAATTTATTTACATAAAATAAAAATTTTATTATAGAATTTTTAATGATTTAAAAAAAACTATCAATTTAAAATGTATATGTATAATATAAATTGCATGTATATATGTAGAAATCGCTTTGCGCAAGGAATAATGCAATAACTAAAAAAAATCTACTTTGATATTAGAGATATTTGAATTTAGAATTTACTCTTTTTATAAAAATTTTCATTAAAATATCGAAAATTTGGTTTGAATTCTACTTCAAAATTCAATAAACATATATGTTGTAATCAGAGAATAAATTTTACTTTTTATATCCTGAAGAGTGTGAAAAAAGAATGTTACTTCTTAATTTGTTGCGTTTATCGATATAATATGTATTTTAAATTTATTTGAGATTAAAAACACACAATAAAACACTTTTAATAGGTGTTATCTTTATTGAAACACTAAAAGTAAAAATTTTGGCAGCTAACTACCATATTTCTAATTTTAGGTTTTTTCGCTCAAATGGTAATTGTTACTATTAGATGTGGTAGGATTATTATTTTTAAGCAAACATAAATACTGAAATAAATTGGTTATCCAGTGAGTTAATTAAAAACACTGGTTATTTTTTTAAAATATATGATTACCATTAATGCAAATATTAATTGAGAGTATTAATATGAGACTTTTAAATTATAAATATCAAAAATAATATTTACATTGAATAATATTATGAAAAATTTATTTAATCTATTTTGAAGAATTATACATAAAAGTTAGAAAATTCTTATTATTCCTCTACTGTTATTCTTCTTACATTATTCTTGTAATGTCTGTATTCTTCTATTTGTTTCACACTATTGAGTTATTTTGTTAGAGTTAATTTTACTTTGGTAAAATGAAGCATGTTATAGTTTATGACTTTAGTAACCCATATCCAAATGTTTAATTAAAGGAATGTAAATAAATATTGAGCGATTCATTAAAATTTGCACAAAAAACTTATTAGAAACTTTGTTTTTAAAATCTGTTGATATAGCTCTAATATACTGATGAACCAGCTTAAATATTGACATATTGCATATTTTAAGCAATATTAATATTAAATTTCAACATAACCATGTAAGACAATCGTTTTGTATAAACGGGTAGGTAAGGTTTTAAGTATTATTTTGCTCGATTCTATATTTGATTTTGAATTGCTTAATCTATAAATATGTTGCAAGTCAGTGTTTCGTGTTATGTTAAATTTATATTTTACTATGAGTACAAATAACGAATGTTAATTCACTAGATAAAAATATATTAATATATTAAAATTTTTAATTTCCATATGATGGTATTTATCGTAAGATAAATATCCATAAGATATTTTAGATTGTCTGTTTGCAAATATCATTTCACTTAAAATTGTACAAAACTAAGCAAATGTCACAATCACTAATATTTCATAATTATATATAAAAAAACTTACTCTTAACTATTTTAAACATAGTTAAAATATGTGTATATTTTTTTAGCATAGAAGTTACATTTTATATGAATAATAAAAAAGGGTTGAATTGTTTTTGCATTATTATTAATGTTTAATTAAAGTAAAATTTTATTATTATCTATATTAAATTAGAATTGTATAAATTTTTTTGAATATATATATATAAGTTTTATTCGATTATAATTGTCAAAAAACACGTCCCACAGGAAGTAATTACATATTTTGTTTAAAGAAATTTGGATTTTTCGATTAAATTAGACAATGCAGTGCATTAAATTAAGCACAACAGTCAACGGTAAAAAAATAACCTATTATATAATCGTATTGTCATAGTGATCAAATCGATGTGTAAGCATTTAACGTCACATTATTTTGATAAATAACATATTATATTCTTTATATGGAGTGTTCATTGGATATTTTAGTAATTTTTCATAGAAAATTCTTAGAATTCTTTTTATCTTAAATGCAAAATTTGACAACATATACGTTGGTAAAAATTGCAAAATATACAAATCATCAATTATATAGGCTTATGGAATGTGCTGTTCTAAACGCTGCTCTAAACAGGAAACTAAAATAAAACATTGTTTAGTAAGGTGTTGATGATATAATTTTAACACTTTTTCAAAACAATTGACTTTTGTAACATAATAGGTTTATTAGAAATAAAATGCCAATAAAGTTAAATATATAAAATTATAATTTAGCAAAGTACGCTTTTTAATTTGTTTAAAATAATGTAAACACATCATCATCTTCGTATCTTCTATTTCAATCATCTGGGATCGGCTCTACCTTACAATGATCCTTACATGGTTTTGTACACTAGCTCTTAACTTGACGCAACCTCATTATGGCTAAGGGTAATAATGTAAACATTCAGAGTTAAATAATGAACAATTCATTTTTAGAAGATAATACATGTCTTCGAATATTTTTTTAAAATTAAATGTTACAATTATTACTGTATTTTATTAGCTTATAATAAGTATACCGTTGTTCATTATAAATTTTGTTCCCTATGGGACCTTTAAATACCTACTGTTAAAAAATGTGCTAATTACCATCATAAAATTTCCTATATTATATACAATTTTTGAAGCGTCTTTAAAAAAAACAAAATTAATTAGTTTTTTTCGATTTTTTAATTTTTTCAATTAAAGTAAAGAATATCAATTTTTAATTTATACAACCACAATTATTTATTTGTTACTATTTCTATTCGTTTACATATTTAAGAAATTATTTATAAATTTAGCTCTAACTTTGTATAAAAATTATACACGTAACATGGTGATGCTACCATTTTATGTATTTTTTATTATTACTTTCTTTTTTTTTTAAGTATTTAATTTCTTGCATTTAAATAACACTAAGAAAGTTATCGATGAGTCATAATTAATACGTACATGGGACATTCAAATTGTATTTTATTATGATAAGATATCATTGTATACCGTTAAAATATTGTATGTTTCGTCTTAGTTTTAATAGAATTTTTTACAAATAATTTTTGATATTAAGATTCTAATTGAATTATTAATTACAAAGTTGGATACATCATATTATTTATAAAATCCAACAATATAAAGAAAATTGCTAAGAATAATCGAAAAACTTGTTACATTAACATACATTTAATTAAAAAAAAAAAAATCTTCTTTTTCATAATTTTGTAAAAAAAAAATGAAATATTTTCTTATATAAACTAATTATCTAAAATATTTTAAATCTTTATCTGCTGGTGTTCGTGACAAAACAGGTTCACAATTTACCTAACAAATACCTGATAACGATTCGGCTGTAAAATTATATAATTCTTGTGTTTTTGTATCACAGTGAATGAGTACATATAAAAAATAACGTAGGTTTATATGTGAATGGATTTGTTAAAATTTTCCACGACCAAAATTATATGTCATAGGATTATTACTAAAAGTGATTAAGAATAATAGTAGTATTAAATAGTAGTACTATTAAATAGTAGTATTTTATAAATTTTAAAAATTATTGTAAATTATTATAGTAATTTGTAATGCAGGTAATTCTCTATTGAAATTTTTATTCTATTGAAACCTGAATTCAAATGTTTTAGACGGTTACAAAATTTTTGTAGATTATAATTATAATACATTCGTATTTTTACATTTAAATGAAGATTTTTGTTTTCTCTTATAATAAAACAGGAATCTAGCATCATTATCTAAAAATATAACATATAATCGTTTTTATTCATCAATGATTTTTATTTCAAGGTGTTTTTAAAATATTTGTTATTATTAGTATTATGACAATTTACACCATAGAAACCATCAAACTATATACTGAAGTGTTTTGAATTTTATATAAGTAGTATATACATTTATAATTTTTAAACTTTTATTTACATAACTCAAAAATAATTTTATTCGCCTAAATACTTGATGAATAGTAAGTTTGAATCTTACTTAGCACATAAATGCATACTCAGAAGGGATTAATTTATAGCATGTAAAGCATTTAAATTAGTTTTATTTATTTTACGTTTAAATGAAACTTCAAAGTAGTATAGTATTTCAAGTTTCTTTTTGTAACGTGATTTAACAAAAAAAATTCAATGCGAGTCTTAACTGTAATAAACTAAAAATGTACGATATATAAATAGGTCTTATGATTTGAATCGAATTACACATTGATCACTGAGCATTGACCCGATTAATAAAGTTTTAAAGGCATTTTATACATATGTCCATAACCATTTTGCACAGAAGATTTTTTAGCCGGAACTACATTATTTTTAGCACCCCTAATTATTGCAAGAGTTCTCTTTAAATTTTTTCAAAATATTTTATTTTTATTTTCTAAAACCATTAATGTGATGAGTGAACAATTTTCCCTATAAATGAAATAAAAAACATTAAAAAGTATTAAATAATTAATTATTGCTTCTAAACAAACTAGGAATATTATAAATAAAAATAAAACATAACTTGATTAGCCATATGTTGAAAACATTTATAGGTTTAATTTTTTTTACAACGAACATTACTCTTTAGATAATTCAGAAATCACTAAATAAATTTTTATAGTTAAAATGTTTCTATTTATTAATTATATTAATTTACAATGAAATTTTTTACAAATAGTTTGTTTTCAATAAATCGATTGAATATGAAGCTTAATTATGTTGCTGAAATTATAATTTTAATTAACTACCCAGTTACTTTAGAATAGCAGCGTTAACTGAAAACGGATAATTTTTTTGAACTAATTAAGCAATTATGTCTTTTTGTTCACAGTTAATCGCCGCCCCGTATCGTATTTAACAATGGAAACTTGAATCGAGACAACAGGATTTACGTTTACAAGCCTCCGTGTTCGTCAACTCGGAGGATCTTGAGTGCGTTTCACAAGATCATAGTAGGAAATTTAGCTTTTTATTAAATAATTATAATAAGTGTGATATGATGTACTTACAATCAAGAAACTGGATATGGTTGTTTGCCAGTATATTACTTTTTGTAGCACTATGTTCAGCCTCGTCGTCTTTTCAGGTAAGAATTTATTAAGATGGTTATTTTCGAATACATAAACTAAAAACTATTTGATGTTAATAACTAACATAGCTTAAAATTATACATGCACTGTAGAATTTTATATTATTAAATAAGCTAATAAACTCTTAAAAGTTTAAACATTAGATTGACTTTTACATTTTGAGCACGGTACTCTGCATATTTAAAATACAATACATAAAATAAGTATTTTATGTTACTTGGGCAAAAAAGTTTATTATTTTATAACGGAATACCGTAAGTAAATGAAATAGATGTATGCGTTAATTCAGTAATTTTAGGCTGAAACAGATAATTAGAGTGAAAAAACTCTGTTCATTTCATTATAGACAATTCATTGCAATACATAAATCTATAGTTTTAAATTATACATTAAAAAATGTATGTATTGATTCAATTACTAATACATCATTTTTTAATTATTACCATTTTACTTCTTTAAAAATACTAAAAACAAAGTTATTTATTTCATTATTTTTTTTCTTTTTCCACGCCTATATCCCAACTAATTGGGGTCGGCCACCCTTATCCTAAACTTCCAATTGACACGATCTACTATATCAATTACGCACACATCAGCCGTCCTCATATCGCATTCAATAACATCCCTCCATCTCTTTATTGGTCTTCCTTTGCCTCTTCATCTCTCAACATTCATTTCCATAACTGTTCTTACAGCTTTCGATTCTCTCTCTCATTATATGACCAAACTATCTAAGTCTATTTTCTCTCATTTTATCCACGATTAACGATACATTTATACTCTCTCATATATATTCGTTCCTTATCCTATTTTCTCTAATCACTCCACTCATCCATCTAAACACTCTCTTCTCTGCTACACCATTCAAAGTTATCTGTTTCATTATAAATTAAAATTTGTAAAAAAAAATTGACTATTAACGATTGGATAATCGCGTTAGTATGTATATTTAATGTTTGAATAAAGTTGTTTCATGGGTATACTGACAATTAAACGCTGTATTCTAGAATACAAATTTGCAATGTTCCTAAAATTACATGAAGTTATTACATAATGAAAATTAATTGTTAATAGTTGATTAGAAATACAAATATATTTTCAACGGCATTTTTCAACTGGATGGAAATCATGATCATCATTTATTTCTAAGCAAAATTGTTATACTCCTCTATATTATTCTTATTAATCATAATTTTGATTAAAAACTTAAATATATTACTTGTATTCAATAACGAGTGTGTTATATAATGCTTTTATAAAACTTAGAAAATATATTATAACAATAAAAAAATCATATTTAACTACATCGAACACAAATTAATTAATTATTTTTCGAAAAATTCAAACACTGCCATTCTAAAGAAGTTTTAATTAAAATTTATCTATATAATATTTTAAAGGGACCTTAACTTAGGATTAATGAAACTTATCACTAATTATAAATCATTTTAATTTTCGAGTTATTTTTTGAGAGTATTAATATTAATATTAGTATAAATAGATAGTTAATTATTTTACAAAGTTTGATTATTCTTATACCAAATATATTTATATTGGACTTTTCATACACACAGCCAAATTATTTAACTTTCTTTTAAAAAATATTTACTTTTGTTCAAAATAAATTTTTTCTCATATGAATTTTTTCATTTTCTTTGGACAACTTATTTTTAAAGACGCAATGTAAAAATGGTTTATTCTTATTCATTGGTTTATATTAAAAACGTTGTTGTACCTTTTATTAAAAAAATACATAACAAAATGTTTTCTCATAATAAATTTTATTCTCTTTTAAGCCTGTAATATATATTTACTAACGGTAAATGGCAGCACCCTAATATTTAACTTTCATTATGAGATTAAAATTTTAAAATTTATTTTAAGACTTTAATAATTAAAAAAAATTCTTGTGATACTGTAATGTTACACTATGATATATAAAATTACTCATTAGTATCAAAGGTATTTTTGACTTTTGCATAAGATATACATTTAATTAATCAATAATCATTATTTTGTTCATTAGTTTAAACTTAAATGTATATATTAATGTTCGTAAAATAATGACTCTTATAGGATGTGGTAAATAAAAACAATATAATCTTTGTTATAATTTATACTGTGGCTTTTATTATATTAAAATGAATATTGCATTTCACTGAAATCTCTTTTAATTATTTGATATAACTAACGTAACGTATCGGCTGTATCATAAATGTTTGGCTATAAAACATCAAGTGGCATCGACTTCCTTTACATAACAATTTACAGAACATTTATCAAAAACATCAGAGAGATCTTTGCTCATAAATTTAAAATTTATAAAATTATTGTTTTCTCGTAAATATAATTTTTATGTATACGTATATTAAAATTAACAATGACAGTTTTAAAAATAAGTTATCTAACATCTGAGTGCACAGTGATTCGCCAGGCTAAGTTCTGGCAATGCTAGTTTATCTTTATACGAATTAATTTGCCCAGTTTTTCTAACATTTTCTGTATCTCTGTTTTATCTTTAAATAACTTAGAACACGGTAAGAAATTTAGCTCTTAACGTATAGTCATTTCCAGTGGCGCAACTGAAACCGATAATTTAGAGTAAACAGTTTTTAATGAGCAAAAATAAAGGTAATCTTTATAAGATTCATTGGAAATTGTGGTAAAATATTTTTCACATATAGATTTTGTTAATAATTTATGTTCATGAATTATTTATATTATTTCAAGTCTTTTTTTAAATATAAAATTGTATTTTAATATACTTTACCTTAATTAAAATTTTCAGGGGGTTGGCCCGGCCTATTGGGTAGAAACGTATGTTTCGGCGCACAGAGTCCCGGGTTTGATCGCCAGGATGCCAACAAGATTGTCTTGTAATTCTCTCATTGGTGGTGTATAGTCTCTGGTGCATCTGATCATAATATTCGTCCCGTCCATTATCTATCCAAGCACCATCTTTAACTTTCTAACATGTGAAATGAGAGCCACCAACCTCTGTAGCATGTTAAGTTTGGGATGTATAATGATGTAAAACTGATCATTTATTTTACACCTTAATTACAATTTTCAATTAATTTAAAATTTAATGATTGGTGTTATGAAAATTATAACCATTTAAATAAATATAAATGCTTTCAAATTTAATTTACTAATTTTAATGAGTTTCATAGTTTTAATTATAATATTAATAATATCAATTTAAAAGTTGTGACTAGTGTTAAGATCTAGGTGTCATTAATTTTAGTGATTTATCATTTAGGGAGCGTATTACTCAATACTTAATTTTTAAAAATAAGTAAAATTACATTCATACTTTTTTATTATTCAAATATTTACTGTGTAATTAATGTCTTTACAGTATTCTAAAATTGATATTTTTTTTAAAACATTATTAGTAAGTTGAATAATTTTCAATAAATAATCCTAATTGAACTTCTCGTGTAAAAATCGTTAGGAAAAAAATTCCTTCGCTATATTGAGAGTGACAAATGAGTCAAGTTTATAGTAGAATCCAGAACCGGTATACAGATATTTAGATTTATACTACTTAACAATGCATATTCACAGAACCGTTCACCTGAGCCTATCGTGCGCAAACAGAAATAGTCTGCATTAACTTAACTCTTATGTGAAGCATTAGTGTTTTAATTTTCACAAAATAAGCATATAGAATTATAGTTTTTCAATTTTTAAATAGAGAATTTTAGCCTAATTTTTTAAAACCATTACATTATCAACTTATAACTTAGTAATAGGATAAAGTGTACAGTTATTGACTCCATACACAATATTACCTAGGTTTTAATTAATGTAATTATTTAATTACTTAAGTTAATTTTTTCTTATTAGATTTTATAAGTTATACATCTTATTAGAATTCGAATGATGTCTTAAGAAATCGTTCAATATTTTATTTCAATAATAGATTTTTAATATTTTTATAATATACAGTTTTTCCATAAGAACTATTATTGTGATCAGACAGCTATTGACTCTCTTTTTTAAACTTATTATAATATAATATACTTATTATAAAATTGAGTAAAAATTACATTTTTGGCAAAAATATATAGTAAATAGTCTGCTGAATTATTAAAAAATTAACTCATTTCAAAAACGAACACGTCTGTTCTTATGGGTAAAATAGTTGAAATTTTATTAATAATTATAGCCCTACCAATAACTGAACACTACCCTATACATTGACAAAATTTTAGAGTTCACATGGAATAATTTTGACTTTAAAGCTGAAATGAAATTGCTGTAAAATAAGCAGGATTAAATACAATATATATCAAAATTAGATTTTGTAAAAATTAAAGATAAAACATTTTGGTGGCTGAAACTTGTACGGTTATCTTTAATTATGCAAGTAACGGTATACATACCATACACTAATATCATATAATATTAATGCAAGTCAAACTTGCTTAGTAGCAGTTTGACAATATGTTAATAGAGCTTGTAGAAATCGAAGAGCTATCTGCATTATACGTCATTCTTAAATAATTCATTACATTACTAGTTGTACTTCACTTAACTTAAATTTAAATACCGGATTAATAATTATTTCTAACTGTTTAAGTAACAAACATATTTTCTATTTATTAGATTTTTAATGAAAAATATAAGGACGGTACACGTGTAAAGAGAAACGTTTTTTCATGAGTATGTGTGTATTATTAATACTAAAAATTGTTTATATAAAAAAATCTTTTGTTCGACAAATTGTCAGTTCTCAAGTAAAAATCGAGTCGTATAATAAATAATATTTTTCACTTTATCTAGTGAGGATGTTTGCCAATAAATAAATATATTTATTGTACACGTTCTTATAACATCTGGTTTCACTGCAATGTCGCCCACATACATGAAATTTACTGGTCGCGTGGTATATTTGATGGGGCACCGGCGCTAAGATGTCAGACAGACGTTCAAAGCGGTTGTTGACCATCAGTAACGAGTCATAGATAAACACAATGTAGCTCTTTAG